GCTTGTTTTAAATTGTAAGCCGCCCAGATTGGTTTGCCATGGGGCGGGATAAAAATAAATTTTATTATTTTATTATTATTAATTAGTATAACTCTAACAGATGAGTATCTTTTATGCTCCTCTTCCCCTACTTAGAAATAAAGAAAAGTCAAAGAAATGTTTTCCTTTCATTCATCATAATCCACTATTTAAGCAATGTGACTGTGGTACTTAAGTTTTTATATTTACTTCTAGATAACAGGTGGCAGACTCTTTGCAGCTGCTCTTATTTATTTATTATGTTTATATCCCACCTTTATACCAATAAACTCAGGTCTGTCTGCATGGCTCTCCTTCTCCCCACTTTATCCACAAAATAATTTGGTGACGTGGGTTTAAGAGAAAGAGTGATTGACCACATGTCCCTCAGTCAATTTCATGGGTGAATGGGGAGATGAACTCAAAAATCCTCATTCAATAATCCAACAGTGACATTACCTGACTCTTTGCTAGAGCTGTTGCAGAAATCTGATTTTACTCTGAGGTTGTCTCAGTACATAGGATTGGATTGTTGGAGGTAATTTGTACTCTTCAATCCTCACATTGTGGACATCTCTAAAAAGAAATATGCACATGTGAAAGGTGCACATAGAAAATTCCACACATTTTCAAATCATGTAAAACACTGCTTAAGCTCAGTTTAGTCAATGGTAAGGAATGCATTCAGGCAATGCATATAATTTGAAACACACACACAACCATCCAGAAAAAGAAGTGAAGAATGGGATTGAAGGAACATTAGAACAAGATTTAGGAGATTATCGCACCGTTAATAAAACTGGGTTACGTGAACCAGCTTAAAATTTAAAACAGGTGGCATCCTAATCTTATCACAAGGATTTAGCTGCCGAATTTGCCACCCGGGTCCAGCCTGGGTCCATCCCCACTTATAGGTGCACTCCTGCAGCCTTTTCCATAAGCTGAAAAATTCCTGGCTTAGAATGTATTAGGCTTCAAAAAGAGGCACGCTGATCACTCCTGTGAGTGAGGATGGACCCGGGATGGACCCAGGTGATAAATTCAGTTGCTTTAAACTTACCTTTGGATGCCTATATAAATG